GTGAACGGATAGTTACTTCTAGGACTGCAGTCAGAGTACACAGATTTTAATTCTTTTATAACATTTTTTAAAAAGTGCCACCATTATACAATGTTTTTCTGTGTTGTGACTGAATAAGTGTTCAGTTTATTAGATAGTACATTAACATGGTCTAAACACATATCTGTGTATTATTCACACATTACTATCTAATATATATTTCAAAACGTGTACAATTGGGAAGTTATGTTAACTGAATATCTTATGCTCTTCTCACATTTGTGTTCACACATTGCAAAGCTGAAGTCAGCTTTGGCATTCACTAATAGAGAACTTGTCAAAGGCAAGATATATTTGTTCTATGTTCTAGTAAGGGTACCTTCGTTAGCAACTGGTTTAGAATGCTGTATCCAAGGGAGATATAAGAAAAGTACAGAACAAAACAACCAGCTAAGGAACTGTTATGAATTGGTTGGTTGGATTTTAGTGACAGAGTTTTGTAACTGTTTAAATACCTATTATCAGAGCACAACTTCTATGTAAAGTGAATATACTATGGCATAAGAATAGCTTCTCAGAAGAACGGTGGATATTTTTGTCTCCTTTTTGTACTGTACTGCTTTTTCTTTAGATGATATTTCTGCTTAAATTTGGTTATTTGGTCTTTTGAACATTTTTAAGAATGAACCAAGAGTGCTACACCTTTCAGTCACTAAGAGTACAGGGACTTACATACTTGTGGTTATTTAAGAAAAACAGTATGATCGATCATTAAGCAAATAAATTCTGTCATCATGCGGAAAAAGGGTGCTGCCTAGACCAGTGGTTCTCAAACTTTCTGGTCCATGGACCACTTGGCTCAATGCAAACCTTTCCACATACCACCAGCTGCTCACGGAAACTTACCAAGCCACTTTGCCAGTGCTGCAGCTAAGGAGAATGGTTTAATTTAAATTATTAAACAGATTCAGCTTTTTAACTTTCTCACGTTAATTTATCAAACTTCATTTTAAATAAAGTAAAATATTAATTTATGTCCAACTCAAAAGGTTTCAATGTTTTCTTTATTTATGGCAGAGGTGGGGAACTTTTCTTGGATCAGGGCCACTGACCCGCAGATAAATCAGTTGGGAATCACACAAGTGAAAAGCAAAAAAACTCCTCCAAAAAAATCCCCAACCCTCACTGATGTGGCTCTCAACTGAGACACCTCACTCCTCTGATCACGGGGCGATGGGAAGAGACAGGGACGACTGAGGTTCAGGGATTCCCGTAGGCCAGATTTACTTTTCTGGGGTTCCAGAGTTAGTAGATTTTGTGGACCCTCCCCCCCAGGCTCTCGAGTGGGATAAGGATGAGGATGCAGGATCTGGGTGGGAGGTGGGGTGCAGAAGGGGGTGAGGGTACAAGGCAGGGTGCAGAAGAAAGCTGTGAGTAGGTATCTGGCCTGAGGGGAGGAAGCAAGAGCAAAGGAGGGTGCAGTGTGTGGCCAGGAGGGAGGATGCAGGAGCAAGGGAAAGCATAGGCACAAACTGTAGGTGCGGGTCTTGGTAGGGGGAGGGGAGTGAGCGAGGGGGATTGAGGTGTGGGGGTCTGAGCATGAGGGGGGATGCTTACCTGGCTTTGCGCCCCGTTGCAGTGAGGAAAGCATGTGGGCAGCGCATCACTGCTCCGCCATTCCCCCAGCGGGGATTTCCATTCCCCCAGTGGGATCGGGAGGGAGCTCAGCTAAGCCCTGGCCAGCAAGTAGCTACTAGGCTCCCTACTCCTATAACTGTCCAATTCGTTGACCTTGCCAGAGATGTTGGCTCTCAGCATCCCCCCATGGCAGGACTCAGGGACACTTCACAGGCTACGAGACAGCCAGGGACTGTGCAGTATTGACACTAGGGCTGGTTATACAGGGATCTCTCACCTGGTGCGAAGAAGCAGCTGTCCCTGGGGTGGAGCAGTGGAGTTGTTTAGGCAGGGATCCCCTGCTCAGTGCTGTGATGCAGCTACCTCTGGGGTGGCACTGTGTAAAAGCAGCACTGCACAGTCACTCAGTGGGTTTCAGGAAGAACTGTTGGTTGACGCTGACTTCAGTTCCCTGATGTGATGCCAAAGGGGTGATGATCTGTCCCCAGCTGGGGAGGGGGTACAGTGGGAGCAGGGGGTGATTTCAGAGCAACAGATTGACTCGGGGGGTCTGAGCATGAGCGGGGGGCGCTTAACTGGCTTTGTGCCCCTTTTCAGCGGGGAAAGCCTCTGGACAGTGTGTCACTGCATTTCCATTCCCCCAGTGGGATCGGGAGGGAGCTCAGCTAAGCCCTGGCCAGCAAGTAGCTACTAGGCTCCCTACTCCTATAACTGTCCAATTCGTTGACCTTGCCAGAGATGTTGGCTCTCAGCATCCCCCCATGGCAGGACTCAGGGACACTTCACAGGCTACGAGACAGCCAGGGACTGTGCAGTATTGACACTAGGGCTGGTTATACAGGGATCTCTCACCTGGTGCGAAGAAGCAGCTGTCCCTGGGGTGGAGCAGTGGAGTTGTTTAGGCAGGGATCCCCTGCTCAGTGCTGTGATGCAGCTACCTCTGGGGTGGCACTGTGTAAAAGCAGCACTGCACAGTCACTCAGTGGGTTTCAGGAAGAACTGTTGGTTGACACTGACCTCAGTTCTCTGATGTGATGCTAAAGGGGTGATGTTCTGTCCTCAGCTAGAGGTGGGAGGGTCAGGTTTGTTAGAGCAGGGGGTGATTTCAGAGCAGACTGACTGACCTGGGCATCCTTGTCCTCCCTGAAAGCAAGCCAGACCTGCTCTCCCCCTGTATTAGTCCAGGGCTTGCGCTCTGTCTGTGTCCCTGGCATGGGTTGAGTTTTGGGCAGTCCCCCGGGGTCTGTTCCTTGCACAGCCTTGCCTGTGGGGAGGGGTCACACTTTACTATGTGCCCACAGGTCCTACAATCTCTGAGCCTGACCCCATCACATCCCAGACCCCAATTCCCCCATTGCCTCCTCACCTTGGCCCCCACTTCCCTCGCACCTCTGGCCCCCCACCCCTCCCTCTGGAAGAGGTCCCGGCTCTGTGTGAGGTTTCTGTGCCGGGCATGGCAGCCCGGTGGAAGCAGGCGGGGAGCCAGGGCGTCTCTTGGGTATGCCGGGGGTGGACTCTCCCACACTATTGCTTCCTTCTCTCCCAGCCCCCCCGCATGCCAGCGGGAGCAGGGTGGGCAGAGCAGCAGCGGCATGCATGGAGGGTCAGGGTGGCCTGTTCCTGTCTCCTTACCTGCAGGTCCCCACACGCCTGCGGAGCTGGGGGGGAGTGGAGCAGCAACAGTGCACATGCAGAGGCTGGGCCTAAATATAGCTGGGGTGCCTGTGTCCTGGCTCTGCGCCGGGTCCATGTTGCCTGGTGAAGGTGGGTGGGAAGCTGGGGCGGCTCTCAGGGACACTGGGAGCAGATGCAAGTTGGAAGCTGGGTCTGATCGGGGCTTATTTCACCTCCGCCTCTCTTCCCCTCCCCCATGTGCCCAGAAACTGGAGCTGTTGCTGTGCGGTGGTGAGGCCTGAATTGGAGCTGTGGACCACCTAGGATGCAGCCACTGACCACACCTGGAGAACCGCTGGCCTAGACTATACAGAGAGCTGGACGAGAAATAGTTTTCCCATCCTGCGAATATCTGAGTGTTTGAATTTTTTCACGGTCTTAAACTGGTACAAATAGTCAAAATCTCAAACATTTATGCACAAAAAAATTACCTGTAGTGGGGAAAAAAGAAGTCGACCAAAACATTTTGCTTCAATAATTTCAAAAAATGCTTTGAAGTTTGATTTCAACTTTTCAAATGCTAGTCAAATTGACTTACATTTTAAAACAAGTCAAATTTGAACCAGAAAGCCCAATTTTTAATTGAAAACTGTCAAAATATTTTGATCTTTTCAACACTATTTTTTGATATATGGGGTTTTGTGTACAGTTTCAGTTTAGATTTAATTGTTTTTTTTTTAAATAGAAAATCATTTGTTGAAAATTTCTCAGCTAGCTCTAAACAAGTAACTATAACATTCCTGGTATTTCATTGGCTGAAACAATTCCAGTTCAGTATAATTTTCACACATATGCAAATTCCTACACTCTGAATTGCTAGTAATGACTCATTTATGTACCCATTCCTTCTGCCACAGAAATAGTAAATATAATATTAAAATGTTATCTCTGCAAACTGTATTTTCCTCTAATTGATGCTGTAATAAAAGCAGAATCAAAACGCAGTTTACTTTATGGCTCAGCCACTGGACTCAGAATATGATAATGACACAAGCAATGTCACAGTTTGGTAACCTAGTAGTTAAAACATGCAGTTGTAATTAAAAAATAAAACCAAAGTTCAGACTGCAATGTGCTGTGTATCATTTGCACATTAATACATCAGCATAAATGTTTCACACCGACTTTTAAAAAGTTGTGCTGTCAAATAGAATAGGTGTAACCACCATTTGTACAAGTCAACATTTTGGCATTTTCAAAGCTAGTAGACAAACTACCTGTTAACTTTGTCCATACAGTAGGCCCCCGCTTTGCGACGGCTCAATTTATGACCCCTCGCACTTATGACCTTTTCCGTAAGTGTGGAAGGGGCTGAAATCCCCTGACTTATGTCCTCGGCCCTGCATTTACGATGGTGTACAACACCAGTCATAAGTGTGGACTTGAGTTACGACGCCCCTGACTTGTAACGCTATCTCTGGAACTGATAGCATCACAAGTTGGAGGCATCCTGTATCACAAAACAAGATAGCAAACTGGCACACAACTGCTCAAGATACTGCCCATGGCCTCAGACAAAAAAGTGTTTCAATACTAAACTCAAGTGCATAGGTAGAGTTGTGGAAAGGGATGAGGGTATATCACATCATCTGCCTCCCTTATGCCTAACTTTAGCCTCTCTTACTGGTTCCTCAGTCTCAAAGTTCCAAAAATTCTCTGAGAGTACATAAAAATGTAGAGCAACAAAGTGTGAAAAAATGGCAAAATACCTGATTAATTATCTGCTGTTGTAATTTTTCTCCGGACGCTGAAAGAAAAAAAAACAAATAATTATCTGTAACGTTTCAGTGAATAAAGTAATTGTGTATGTAACAATGAGGCAGTCAAGGAAAACAGACTTCACAATAGGATAATGAACAGAACAAACAGAGGCTAAAAAAGGATCTTTTAGAAAAGAAATCTGGCCAAAGTGATAACATTAATAGATTAGAGCAAGTATCTGCAACATTTAATCTAGAGATTAAGAGGACTAAGGGGAAATTTGATAGATAGCCAACCAAAAATATCAAGAGTAATACAGGTAGAACTTCTCTAGTCTGCCATTCTCTGGTCTGGCAACATCCATGGTCCGTCATGATTTTAAGTTAGCCGGATGTCCACATATCATGAGTGTAGCCAAGTTTCCTGCAGTCCCATAAAGTTAGTTTACAGCCACCTGTTCTGGCTCTCAGGTGTTTTTTGTTATTTTGCACTAATTTACCCCTAAATGTTTTCTAAGAAGCAAGTAAATAGTAGACATGTGTATATAATGCTGCTAGACAATGGTTCAGTAAATTCTCTGGTTCGGCACTGGTCAGATCCTGATGGTGACAGACTGGAGAGGCTCAACCTTTAATATGAAAAAGTATAAAGAGATCAGAATTATTATACCACCAAAGTATAATGAAGCAAATAAAGAATGAAGAAAATTGCAGAGAAGCTAAGACATTTATTTTAATTGATGTTCACTCATCAGAAGATGGGAAAAATGCCTATTTTACTCTTACATTTGAAATCAATGAATATAAGATTAAGAATGTATCACAATTATTTAAAGATGGCGATGAAACTATGGAAACTAGATTGCGGGAATGTACCAGCACCACAGTCATCAGATTTTAGTGGGAAGTAAAAAAAAATTAGGAAGCCAACCTGTTAATAATAATACTCAATTTAACCTTTAAAAATATAAGAGGAATGGGAGGTAGCAACACTTGTATCCCTCTTTGTATGAAAGACCTACAGAAAATTAGAGCTGAGTGAATAACTGATTTTTCAGTTCAGTTGCCAAAAAAACCAACAAAAAACAACAAAAAAATTGAGTTAGAACTTAAATTGTTTTTTTAATTTTTTCTTATCCAAATTAAAAAACCTGAAAAATGTCATTAGAATTGAACAAAAAGTTTTGAGAACAACGTATTCTAAACAAAATGCAATGTGAAAAGATACTTCAACATCTTTTCAAGTTTCTTTTCCTGGCAAAACTAGTTGCCAAATTAGAGTCTAATTCACAAAAGATTTCATTCAGTGCTCTGAAAAGCACATTTTTCAATGGATTTCCTATTCACTAGTACTTTTTTTCCCTATCTCCATAGCAAATATGTTATAATGGGATATACATCATACACAATACTGTACCAACATGTTAACACAGTTGGGTCCATAATCTAGGACAGAAAGGCTAGCCACATAGGGAAATATTCATCCTTGCTCCTGCATTTTGAAGGTAGAGTATTAAGTGCAGGATTCTTAGCCAGTTATCTCTTGTGCCTTGCTAGAACATATGATCTTTTAGAATGTATGCTCTGACATGATGTTGAAGTCTCCTAAGCTAGAACTTTTGAAACTTGCCTCCAGTTCATGCTACCCTGATCTTTCCATCAGACATTACAAAAAATAAAACGTTTAAAAATGAACACAACAAATGCCAAATAGTTAAACAGCAAATATGCTTTATAATCATCTTAATTAACTTGTGAGATTCACTGCTGCAGGATACTATGGCAAAGAGATCAGCAATATTTAGCCCAGGGTTAGCCCTGGCAGCTCATATGGACCAAAAGTTCAGCTCCCTGTCAGTCACTGTCTCTGGTAGTGTTGTGGGGCTGCCCTAGCTCCATGCTGCTCCCAGAAGAGGCCAGCATGCCCCTGCTGCCCTGGGGGCAGGGAGCAGAGGTCTCTAGGCATTGTTCCTGCCTTCAAGCACTGCCCTCCGCAGCTCCCATTGGCCAGAAATGGGGAACTATGGCCAGTGAGAGTTGTTGGGGCAGTGACTATTAAGAGGGGCAGTGCACAGAGCCACTGCCCCCTTCCCAGGGACTACAGGGCCCCATTGATCTCTTCCAGGAGTGGTGTAGGAGAGGGGTCACCCTAAGTAGTGCCACACCCTCCTGCACCCCAAACGGCAGCATTGAACCTGTTCCTCATATACCCTCTAGGAATGTTAAGTAGCGGTTAATAAGCTAATTGAGTAGTTGATGGAATTTCCATTGACTATTCGATTAGTAGATAAAGGGGCCAACTCACAGGGGTGGCATGAGCCCAGGCTCGGCAGTTCGGACTCACACCATGTCCCAGACCATTGCGGCTCTGGTTTCAGCTCTTACTACTTTTAAAAAACAGAGCCACAGTGGGCCGGGACCCAGCACAAGCTGGGACTGTTGAGTCCCAGCTTGTGCCAGGTCCCTTGCTGCACCTCTGCCTCTCCGGTCTCTCCACTTCTTCCCCAGCCCAGTGAAAATGAGAGGGGAGAGGGAGAGGGGATGGGTGAACAAGGCAATGGTTTGGGCAAAGAGTTGGGGTTTCCAGGATGTGGCTCTCACACTGAAGGCTTTTCCCCCCCAAAGTGGCCCCCACTTCAAAAATAGCGAAGCGCATTGGTTTAGCCACACACACGAATAAGACTGATAGCTATAGTTACACTTGCTAAGTTAGCATTGCATGTTCGCGTGCACACACGATGGCTATAGTTACTATCCACCCACAGCCATGAAGAAATTCCTTCTCATAATGACACAGATTGGCTAGTTGAATTAATTGTATTTATTTATTTTGGCCTGCCTCTGAACATTCATTATAGTGTATTACTGGAAGCAAGATACCAGTCTGGATAGATTTTACTTCATTGTGGGAGTTTCTGTGCTTCTATCAAAAACTTACACCTCTTTGTAGAATCAAACCTAGTTTCACCCTTCAGGTAAGAGACAATAGAAATGTACCTTGTAAAGTGCTATCATACAGTAATAGTCAAAATTGTGGCAATGTTAATTATATAATCTCTGTAGGAGATGCACCACATTCTTTGTGGATGATCAAGAATTTCACACTTACCTATATCTAGTGGTTCCCAAACTGTTCGGCATCATGCCCCCTTTTTGATTTTTGAGAAACCCTTACGCCCCTCTCCCACAAAAATAGCAGTAAAACTTGGGGTGGGAATGATGGGGGTGTGTGGGGCTGGGTCGCCTCATGCCCCCCCCCGGAATTTCTTCACATCTCCCCCCAGTGGGGCATGATCTAGCTCTACATATATCAGCCATGATTTTCTAGCCCAATAATGATGGGACTCCCTATGCAGCTTTAAATCCCTCTTTAAAAGGCCCAGGGAACTGCTGTTGAGTGACATTAGGCACTTCTTACTCCATGAATAGTTATGTAAATACTATCCCTTTTCATTAGAATCTGTTTGTACTGACATGTAGAGTGTACAAAATATAGATTTTTTTTTAAAGACTGGGTAGCAGTATTATGAATTTTTAAATGTAACACAAGGTTTTATTAATATGAAAAATGATCTTCTCTATTGATTCCTTAGAATGATCCTTATTCTAAGGAGAAAACTAAAAAGAACGTATTACTTTAGGCAGTACCACAGAATGAATTTTATGATAATTATTTCCTGCATGCATGTTGGTGTAGTATCTTTGTTTGGGTACATGTAAATGGTACTTTTTAGCTCTGAGAGAAAAAAAAAAGAGAACATCATTTAGGGGAGACTTACAGTAAGTCATCCCCATGTTTATTAAGATCGTCTTTGTGAAAAATGGAATTAAATCTTTGGGCTATTTTTTTAACCTAATAAGGTTTTTGGCAATAGAGGATTAAGGAATGTGTTCTAACATTCCCTAATGATATACAAGTTGCAAGGAAAGTACAGTGTTTGAAATCTCTGGTTGGATCAACACTATTTTGCTCAAAGGTTTGTGGACTTTGAATACTGATGCTTTCCTGTTTTCTAGTATATTTGTTTTTAGGCTATTTTGATTTACTTTAAAGGAATTTTAATAGCTTTCTGTTGACAGCATGGACAGCTGGTCTTGAGAATTAACAAAAATTCACTTGCTGACTGAGGAAGGAAGTGACATCAATGAGCTTCAAAAGTCAGCCCAGAGGGAAAAGTGAGTTTTGCTCAAGTAACCTTTCATTCCATTGTATTTACAGCTTCAAGATGCAAACTGCATTGTCAATCTAGTACCTACCTCAAACACGCTTAAAGATTAAGTGAAAGTTTAGAAATATTTGACAATTTTATAGACACAGTTAAGGAAAATTAAATGAAAAATGGTGGTACCATCCTTAGCTCTTTCTTCAGTGGTTTAAACACAATGCTATTACTCCAAAGGCTGTCACTTAAGCATCCTTATGGACTATCAGCCAAGATAATGTGGGATAGCCAAGGCAAACACTGACTGTCCTCTTTGGGAGAAAAGGGATCAAGCTTACGGTCACAAGGAAACTGAATACTGTATTCTCTGTTTACTCATTAGTTGATATTTGATATCATTAGAAAACTATCACATGGATTTGGCAACATTAGCCATCTCAGAAGAGGCCAAAGGTCTGTATTAGCAGAGATGCTGAGAACTAGGATTGAAGCACATTGGTGAAGCCACATCAATAAGCTTCCAAAGTGCTTCCACATGTTCTATTTGATTCAGATCAGTGCTGACTGCCTTTCAGTTTAAAGAGTACTGTGCTTCCAAAACACATAGGCTACGTCTACATTGGCCCCTATTACGGAATAGGGATGCAAATGTAGAACTTTGGAAGAGGCAAATGCGCGGGGGATTTAAATATCCCCCGCGGCATTTGCATTTTCATGGCCGCCGCTTTTTTCCGGCTTGGAGATAAGCTGGAGAAAAGCGTCCAGACTGGCACGATCCTCCGGAATAAAGCCCTATTCCGGAGGATCTCTTATTCCTACTTGCAAGATTCCTACTTGCAAGATCCATAGGGGCCAATGTAGACGTAGCCAGACACACATCCATC